ATCTTTTTCTGATTCCTCCCCTGTACAATGACTGTTTTTCCTTACTGGCAAATTAACTTCCTGCTCTGCTTCTTTCTCCTTGCTGCTTTCAACTCATAACAGAAATTTACTTTTTAGTGATAAATTATTAATCCGAGTCAAGTGGAAAGAAAACAGTTTATTATCTTTTTAACCACTTGAGGGCAGCAAATTCTTACTCTTTAAAAACCACTTAACACCATAAAAACTCATTCATGTTCAGAGATGATGTTACAGTATTCAAGAAGTACAATCATTTAAAGGTAGCAGAAACACAACTGATTGAGCTGCTGTTTAACAATCTACTTAATATATCTCACCCTTTCATTGATTAATTCAATCCAGGCACAATCCTGAAGGATAATTTGAAAGGAATCACAGAAAAAGTCCAAACAAGTTAAGTTTAATTCTTACCAGATAGTGCAAGTCAGGTAAATACAGAATATGTTCTAAAAGCTAATAAAATGTGCACAAATATTTGATTAATAACCTGAAAACTATTAAAGAGGAAGCAAAAATCTCCAAGTATTTTAAAATAAGAAAATAAATTAACATTCTCAAGTTTTAAAATCGGAATGTTCTAAAGATAACTGAACTCATGGGCCTGACACCTATCTGCATTTATCAAAACTAAGCTGCCATATGCATCAGTCTGGGATATTAAGGTACACTTCTTGCTTCTTATGCATCTCTGTAAGTAACAAAGACGACAAGTAAATTGAGCTCTCCGTTAGATTTAGACGGCCTCAGTGGCAAACCTGTAACTCTAACAGGTTGAACCAAGCACAGAATATGTAAACTCCAAATTAACACTGCTCCCACTGTTCAGATCCATCTCAAGAAACAGCACACTGTCTTACCAAGCAACTACTATCAATTCACTAATATGCTTCCAATATTCTGAACGATTTCCTATAGTTGTTCTGCTTTACAGTGTATCTCATTTGAACCTGTGATAACAGAGGATGAATAAAGAACTAGAGGATGAATTCATGTTTTCCCTTCTCTCTTCCTTTACTTCCTCTACTCAAACAAACAGGCAAGACTTTTTTTCCCCCTGACAGAAAATAACAAGCATTATAGATTCCCTTTGCCAAAAGCAAGGGTAGCATTATCCACTCTGTCAATGCATTCTAGAAGACGAAAATTTATTTCTCCAAAATAGAGAGGATTTATTTGTTTAAATACATATCAAGTAAATTCTAACACAATCCTGAAATGTCCTGAGTGCCCTCAGCTTTTGCAGGATTTTGCATGGTCAAGTCCATTGATGGCACTTCTGAACGGACATGAGAAGACAGAAAAGACAGTACGGTTTCAAATGCAATACTACTTTTAACTACCAATCTGTAGGGGTTATGTAGCCCAAAAGGCTACCCAGTTGAATCCCCCTTCTCCTACCAGTAATTGTATAGCTTCAGCTATTCTCTTCATTCCCAGGTCATAGAGTACATTTTTGCACTCCTGACACCTTTGTCAGCTTCATCTTAACTCTTCATTCTGACCATCAATCAACAGTCTGATGATTCTTTTCACCTGTCCCTCCCTCCCACAGTGTGGAAACTCTACTTCTTCCTCTAACACTCAAAATACCAAAACAAAACCGACATTCATTTACACACACACACACACAAAATCAAGTAAAATTGTTCCTTTCTTTCAATTCCTTCCCTTTTCCTTATTTCCCCGTGCATTCAAAAAAAGGGAGCTCTCTTACATATGATTATAAAAACCACCTGAACTTCTCTAAAAGCTTCTCTACATCAGGTTCAATCCTCCTCCAAAGCCTTTCATAATTTGGATAGTCTGTCTTCTTGCATTATCCATTGACTGCTAGCAGGTTAGAGAAGACAAAAATACTCGTTTCAGTGCATTAACCTACCAACTTGCTTCCCTCCCTTTGGCTGTGGTACCTCTCAGAAATCAGTCTGCCAAACTTGATTTGTATAACCTTTTATTCATTTATTTAAATGCAAACAAGCACTCTTCCTCACACTGCAATCCAAGAAAAAAAGTCCATTCTTAACAATATACTCACAGATTTTAGGCACAGCAAAACCAGTACCAGTTGCTGGTAATCCTCCCCTCTTTCCTTTCTATTTTGTCTACACACAGTTGTTGCATATTTCAGCTGTAAGACCATTACAACAAGGATTCTTGCAAATTAATTCCACCTGAGCCCTCTAATTGTAATAGCAATAGAATTGTTGAGCTGTGGATGCCCTGGGTTTTTACTGTAGCCAAGATCAGAAAAAGATGCAGGAAAATTTGTAATACAGATGCTACTGTTGACACAGTGATAAAACTTGTCTTCTAAGCATACAAAGAGACAGACGAGCCAGAATTAAACTCGTCATGCTCATTACTTTAAGAACAACTTTCTGATGGAAATACATCTCTACACAATAGAGCTTCACAGAACACAGTTCACTACATACCTAACAAAACCACAAAGAACAGCCATTCTTCTACAAATGCTTCAGATTCCTAAACTAGCTAATAATGGTAATAAAAAAAGTTATGCATCACTGGCAATTAAAATGTAATTACACTTGAAACTACATTTCCCGATTTAGATCTGCATGCAATTCTTCCTTTTATATATTCACATGCTTGCTGGTTCACAAAAATCAGTAATTCAGTTATTAACATACCTTATAGAGTTACATCATATTTAGAGAGATAGTAGGCAAAGTCTGCAGGACTGAGGGCAAAATTTACATGCAGCCAGCTTTCCCTTCACTTAGCAAGAATGGAACATTGCCTTATTTTCTTATTGAATTCCATCACACACATGCTTGAAAACACAGTGTGGCACTACCCTCCTGGTAAAGTCATAAAGTCTTGCAATTAGCTCTGTAAACAGGATTGATGATGCTGTCTACATGGAAGGCCAGTCCCCCTCCAATATTTAAAGTTCATACAGATATATTGTTTGCTTCTGGTTTACAAAATGTATCCAGACTATCTTTCAGCAAGTTATTAAAAGGCATTACCACTGAAAATGGAAAAAAAAAAACAAACCACACATGTACACGTTACACAAAGTAAAAAAACATGTCTCAGGAGATCATTAATTTTTCATGGAAATCAAAGACAATTACAATTGATTGATTAACTCATCAAATATTAACATGGAAGTTGAAAGGTAGTAAAAGGGCAAGAGACTTGTGCATATTCAATACACACTGAACACTCATGTAGCAATATCGTATAGCCCTGTCTTCCATCACTAAGTAATACTAGAGCAAAGGACAGATGTGGTGTTCGTCTGGAATTAATAGTGAGCAGTGTCTAGCTCTCTTGTCATTGCTTAATACTGGAAACTGATCTGTCATTAATTTAAGATTTGTAATGCAACATAATGCTGTTGGGGAGAAAAATATCCATGCATGCAAAGCACCTGAAATCTAAAGTAAATGTATCTTTCAAGATGTTAGTATAACTTGAGTTTAATTTGATGCACTCTGTAATTACAAAACATATCCCTCAAGGCAACTTCCAGTGAAAGAGAAATATAGCTCCTTGTACTTATTATGTTTTTCTATGTCATCACTGCAATAACCAAAATCAAGAACAATGAAATTCATAAAAATGCTAAATATGAAGATTTAATTTAAATACTATAGAACAACTGAAAACAGCTAAGTGTGAATATTGGTAGCTAATCAGCTACAACTTTTTTAAAAGAGTACTCCTGTGGAAATAACAGTGATGATGAAAGCTTTCACTGTCTCAAACAATGTGACTAATAACATATTACATTTAAACAAAGTTAAGTTATCCAAAACATAACTATGGGTTTTCAACAATAATTTCATTTCAGACTGTTGTTTTCTGTAAAAAATGGTTGTAAAATTGTTGAAGGTAGTACTTATAACCAACACAATTAACCACAAAAACACAACAGACAAGTCTGAAGAATTCACTGCAAAATAAAGATCTGTGGTCTAAAGATATCGTATTGAGAGGACCACTTAAAAATTGTAGTAAGTTAGCAAGAAATTGGAATAGTATCTTTCATACATTTACATTGGATATTTCCCATGTATAACCTTTTAACAAAATAAACTACTGGGGAAAATTCCAAGTATGCCATAACCTGCACAATGGTAAGATAATGACAGAAATATTTACCTAAAGAGTTACAATAATCTTATATATTTTTTGGGACACTAACTGTGATGCAATGAAATCCTAAAACTAACAGAAGGTGAGGAAGATGTCTCTTTTCTGAGCAAAAGGGAGCTCAGAAAGTCCCCACTCCTTCCAGCCTGAGGTAAGATTTGCAAGAGAGCATTTAAACAGAATATTTCCAAATTACAGCCATGGTTTACCATAGCCCAGGAAGAGCTCAAAAGACAGGTTTTAAGTAACCAATAAGAGTTTGGAATCAGGCAAAATGTAGCTACTGTGCTGTATGTTAGTTTTCATAGCTTTAAAGCCAGTAACATTTTTTGCTTTTTTGAAATAAGCCTTGTTTTCATCTTTAAACATGTTCACTGTTAAAAATGCAAAGATAACAGGTGATAATCAGAGAATACACCATTTCGCTGGATTCATTACCTGAATACTGCACATAAGCAGCCCAGCATGCTGCCAAACTAAAGGCATGTTTAGGAATCCTGAGAATTAAGGTGTTTTCTGCTAGGTTTGGGGTCAGTTGTAGGCTTATTAGGAGAAACAAAGTATTGGGAAAGAATCTCCCATTAAAGTCAAAAACAAGAGAAATTCTGAAAAGAGGCAAACTATGTAGACAAAGAGCAGAATAGCACTTAGGAAGTTTAAGAAATGAACCCTAAGTTGACCAGGGAATTAAGATTTAAACATAATCAACTTATCTTGGTTGAATTTGAAGAAAAGTGAGGCAAAACAGTAAAAGAATAAGATAATTTACTTTAGGTTGTGTACAGTCATGGAACTTTTCATAAGTTACAGAGAACACATTAGAAAGCGTGTGTGAGTTATTCACAATTGCTTACCCAAGATTCATGGTACAAAACTGTTAGGAGGTGTATGCTATAATCATAGTTCTGTCTTCTTAAAGGACATCTGAAAATTAATAAACAAAGCCTTTTTAAAATTAAGCCACTATAATATACTTTTGAAGAAAATGTTAAACTTACCATCAAAAAAAAGACTACATCAGAGACCCTCATCTGAATGACTATGGACTATGACTATTCTGGCAAATAAACTTTAAAAAGGACTCAAGCTGTTGACTTGTATTTCTTTCACAGTGAAAGAGCTTCAGTTTAAAAGTAATCTAAATACCAACCTGGAAAATCCTATATTAAAGAAAGGATAGTGCTCAGAGCCTAGGCCTTAGAATTTACTAAAAATAAAGTGACATATCAACAAGCACATTGAGAGTTCCTTCTGAAATGCGGCATAAGACCATTCACAGGTGCTCTAGAAGGTACGTTCCTTTCAGGTATCCTAACATTTTAGCCACAAAAAAGACTATCAATAATGTTTTTCCTATCACTGAAAGCAGTTATGAATTAAAGTGCACTGTAAATTTAGGAATACATATGTATTCTCTTAAACTCTTCAGAATTCAACACAGAAAACACGTTCTTTCATGCAGCCTTCTAAACATAACTGTAAATAACTACAGTGATTTGTTTATATCTAGAACATGAAACCACTGAGAAATGTCTGGACACCAACATCCCCATTTTGCTTGCCTGAAACTCTTCAGATCATTGTTAAAACTAACAGAACCCATTTGGGAAACACAACCACTTTAAAATAACAAATGAGACTTCTAAATACAGAGCTTCAATAACTAGCCACATTTAACAAATACTATGTTTGACCTTATGTGATTTGTCCATTACAATTTTAACAGTTAATAACAGGAGTACTAGTATGTTTATGTCATATTTTAGCCTTAAAAATATAATAATTTACTAAGACAATACTTGACAGTACTGAAAGACATCCAGCCCTTTCTATACGGTCAGCATTGCTACAGGCATTTTTTTTCTTTCTTTCTGGTAACCATACCTGTCAGTTGTAATTGTGAGCGTATCTGTATCCTTACAGTATCGCTCTCCTACAAGTTTGATGAGCTTCTTCTTTGCATGGTCATCCAAATTCAAGTTAGAAAGTTTAACCTTCAAGTACAAGAGAAAAGGCCTTTAATTACTTGGATAAATCCGATCTCTGCACTCTGAAAATATTTTGAGATAGGCACAACTTTAATCAAGAATTAAAAGGATAGCTATTAAGTGTGCATTTGCAGAATTTCTTCAAATTCTGTCCCAATACCAGAAAACCCACAAACATAAGATATACAACAAACAATTAGTATTTATTAAGAAAACCCAACCTCTCAAAAGTTAGTCTGAAGCTAGATTCCATATGTAATAACAAGTATGAAAAGTAAAGCAAACTGGTTTTTGCTATCTGTTTATACAAGAGCAAATAAGAAGGATATGAACCTTAACAGACTAAAGATATATGAAGTCGGAAACATAAGTTTCTATTAAGTAAGATTTGCTGAGGAATATTAAAAACATGAAGACATAACAGTACTCTCTTACTAATTAGTCCACTGTTTTCCCTGTGCATTCTTTCTACTGTGTCACTGCTGCACGAAAGAACTGTCCAAAAAAAATCAAGAAACCTGCATCAGAAAAACTAACTGAAGTTGAAGGACTAAAAGAATTCAGAAGTTCCAATAAATATCAGGAAAAGAGTACCACCTGAAAAGAAAAAACCCTACTACTAAAAACAGAAAGCTAAAGTACTAAACTTAAACACGGCAAGTGAGGAGACAACAGGGTTTCAATACTAAAACTTCTAATCTTGAAAAAAACCTTAATATTCAATACTCCATATATTATATGAAAAATGTCTCCTTTTTAAGGAATTACATGCTCCTCTACCATGCATGCCCATAATACTGGTGAGCAGGAGCTCAACTGGCTTTGTTCCCTAGCTGACATTTCATCAAGTCCAACTCTAATAAAAAATTAAAAATTCTAATAAAAATAAATTAAAAAGCTCTGTTCTCAGTGCAGCCGAAAATGACCATGAACAACCACTTCTGAAGTCACGATACTTCCAAGGTCCCTATGCATACATCCACCCTTTCTAAGGGGGTATCTTACATATAGTGCTCTTCCATACAGTGCAGCCACACAGCCTTCAATCAGTGGTGACAAAAAATGGGAGTTATGAGAAGGTGGGTCCACCCCTGCTTTACAGAGAAGCTGCACCTAAGCTAGGGCACTGAGCCTCAGTCTCTGCCTGAGCCACAGCGCAGCTATCTCTGTGCCCAGCCATGGCCCACACTGACACAACCCTGACACACACCCTTGACTTCCTGGCTTGACCTCCCCTACTGCATCACTATGGACTGGCTTGACAATCAGCAGACTGTTGACTGATCCTAGTTACTGTCACTAGACCTAATCCTGATCCACTGACTTGTCTTTCCCCTTCAACTTCAAACCTGCCTTATCATTATGAACTTGTCAGGTGATTAATGGGCTGTTGGATAGATGAGGCTACTATCACCAGACCTGTCCTGCTCACTTGCTCAGGCAGTAACTGCACTCTTTTTGGGAAGGTCACTGCCCCTGCGTGCCTTGCTGCCCCTGGATTGCCTTCCTTGGAAAACAGCCTACCCTCACTGCTGCCTGGCAATGCTCACCCAAAACGATGAGAAATGCCTTTTTGTAAAAGACATTTTCTTAATATTGTACTTCTCTAATATTCACAGAAAGAAAGAATGCTCCAAGCTCTGGAGTCAGACACAACTCTCTGGCAAACAAACAACTGCTACTGCACTCAAGCACTTTATGACCGTGACTATCTAAACTTAACGAGATACTCCAGCTCAGATGTCCAGCATTAGCTTACTTTAACCAACAATGCAAAACAACGTGAGTAGCGGTTTTTGCACTGTCTTAAAAGTATGGCCTCATAGTTGCATCATGCTGTCTTCATACAATGTGATTGTCTGAAATTTACTGTTAGAGTGCTATGATTTTATTCCACATGACTTGCTTTTTCTGTAAAAACTAAAAAGCTAACTGGTCTGTTGCCTATGCTACCACAAAAATATGTTGTTCTTACTAATGCAAAGTCACACTGAAGGGACAAATATTTATGTGGTTACTTGCTTCAACACGGAATATCAATTAGACAGCTTATAACTGTTAACTGAAACGGTGCAGACTATTTTATGGTGAATTTTAGAAAAATTAGAGCTCCATAAAGAACTGCAGTTGATTTTCAAGAAGTAAAGAAGTTACGTTTTACCACCTATGTTGTCTGACACAATGTGTAAAGTTCCACTTGGGAACAGACTAGGATAAATTTAATGACAAGAAATACTGGCATTAGGCTACAAGAAATGAAAAATCAGCATTTCTAATATGATATCTGGTAGAAAAAAGGTGTATTTTTTTAATTAAGATCTTAAGATTTTAAAACTTAAACTTTTAGACAATATTAAAAAAGGAAATCTTATAATGAAGATCCACCAGAGAGTTTATCATAGTCGGTAACACAGTAAATGCTCTCATTGATACATACTCAACCACTCTTTGACCTAGTACAATCTCCTTTCACCTCTAAATCCTTATCTTCCCCCTCCTTAGGCAGATTTTGTTATCAGAGAAAGAACTTATCAAATAAGTCCTACTGCACACACACTGATGCCTGGAGGCCTGCCAACTCAATCCTTATTAATAGTGCCCCATTCATACGACCTATCTTTCAATTCTCATGCACTTCCAAGGTCTATAAATTAGCAATAAGAGAGCCTAAGCAAGACACTGAGTGCAGAGGCACTTACAGCCTTTTCTGTAAGTAGATTCTTCAGAAGGTACACTATTTTGTTCATATCAGTGCTTTATCTTGCATTTGTAAATACCTATTCATAACCTTACAAACTCAGTTCTAACATGCTGCAATATACTTAATACACTGCTTTCTATTCATACATTCAGCAAACCATTTCCCCTCATTTCCTTACAACATATCATACTTGCACATGTTCTTAAAAGCCAAGTATTTGTGAAAAAAAGTTGTTTACCAAAACTACTACTTACTCTTAAAGTCACCACTCTTGCTTTGGGATTACGAATAGATGTCCCTGCAGAAACATAATCTACTGTTTCAATTTCAATAGGAAAATGTCGTTCACATTTCTCATCACTGTCCAAAGCACTCGGCCATTCAGTGCAGAAATCTGTATAACAAAGAGAAAACACTCCAAGTAATAACTGTAACGTCTTTCACTAGATCAGGCTGCTCAAAGCCCTGTCCAACCTGACCTTGAATACTCCCAACGATGGGGCATCCACAGCTTCTCTGGGCAACCTCTTCCAGTGTCTCACCACCCTCATTAATAAATATCTTTAAAAATAAAGATATTTATTAAAAATAAAAAATATCTTCCTTATGTCCAATCTAAATATCTACTCTCTTCCAGTTTAAACCATTGCCCCATGTTCTGTCACTACAGGCCTTGGTAAAAAGTCTCTCCCCGTCTTTATGTACTGAAACGTGACAGTAAAGTCCCCCTGGAGCCCTTTCTTCTCCAGGCTGAACGACCCCAGCTTTCTCAGCCTTTCTTCACAGGAGAGGTGCTCCAGCCCTCTGATCATTTGTGTGACCATCCTCTAACAGGTCCATGTCTTTCCTGTACTGGGGACTCGAGAACTGGATGCAACACTCAAGAGGGGAAAGAACTAATTTCCTGAATATGGTAGCTACACTCTTGTTAATACAACCCAGTATGCAGTTAGCCTTCCCTGCCACAAGGGCACACTGCTGACTCATGTTCAATTTCCAAATGCCCACTAGGCCCCACATGGCCTTTTCTGCAAAGCTCCTTCCTAGCTGTTTGCACTCCCTCACATCCCCCCGGCCTGTAATGCTGCATGAATCATTCCCTCACAGATGCAGGACGTTGCAGTTGCCTCTGTTTAACTTCATGAGGCAGCAGTTTTTTTCCTGCCTGTTGACAACCTTCTGAATGGCAGCTCTGCTCTCCAGTGTATCGCTTGTTCCCAGTTTGTTATTTTAGGAAGATGTGCTGAGGTCATGCTCTCTACCATTATCCAGGCTGTCATAAAGCATGCTTTTGGGTGCTTGGAAATGGCTTCCAGGAAGGTTTGCTTCACAATCTTCCAGGGAACATGGTGAGGCTGACTGACCTGCAGTTTCCTGAATCTTCTTTCTTGCCCTTCTTGAATATGGTTTGGCAAAAATCTCCTGTTCCTCCTGGGTAGTCTTTACCTGCTTCCACTTTCTATATACTTCCTTTTTGCATCTCAGGTCACCCACGAGTTTCCTGCACATACAAGCTGTCTTTCTGCCATACTCGCTCAACTTTTTGCCTGCTGGAATGGACTGTTCTTGCTCTTTTAAGGAGGTTGAACTTAAACATCCACCAGCTCTCACAGGCCACTTTGCTCCCTAGGAGATAACCCTGTGACATCTGCCAAGCAGATCCCTGAATAAACCAAAATCACTCTCATGAAGTCCATGCTCTAGTTCCACTGTCTGTCTTGCTCACTTTTCTCATGATTTTAAACACCACAGTTACCAAGGATGCCTCTAACCTTCACATACTTCACCAGTACTTCCTTGTTTCTGAACAACAAATCCAGAGTGTGTCTCCTAGTCAACTCATCAATTGTTTTCACTGAGAAATCGCCTTCAATACACTACTTGCCTTCCTCTCTGCTCTCAAGATCTTAAACTCCACAATCTTCCTTTCGCAATCAAGGCTGCCAGCAACCTCGACATCTCCAACCAGTTCTTCCATACTTGCAAGTAGCACGTGCAAACCAGCATCTTCCCATAGACAGTTTGTCCAGCATCAAGAAATTACCTGCAACACACTCCAGAAATTTCCTAGATTGCTTCCATTGCATCCTGTTACCCTTCCAGCAGATGTTGAGATGGCTGCAGTTCCCGATGAGAACCAAAGCTTGTGGTTCTGAGGCTTTTTTCAGTGAGCTGTTCATTCACTTCCTCTTCTTAACCAGGCATTCTAGGGCAGTCGCCCAACACCAACACCACCTTTCTGGCTTCTCCTCTTCTCAAGCTTCTACCTATTCTCAAACTCTCAACCAGCTTGCTACACAGCTCACAGCAAAGCTCTGCATCTGAGCTTTTCTTTGGGGTACAGGTCAGCTCCTCCTCCTTCACATCACCCCTGCCTGCACCTCAATCACATAAGCTTTCTCTCTGCATTTCTGTGACTACTCAGACTTCCAATTCCTCTGGTTTCTTATACTGCATGTATTTGTATACAGGCAACTCAAGACAGGCCTCTTCCCACATCCTCCCTACCCCTTCATGCCTTCACTTATCTTTGGGCTAACCTCCTCATTAGGTTCTCCTTATTGGCTTCCTGGCTGGCAGAGGTGCTCTCAGCCTTCATTAGATCCTGTATCTCCTCAGCAGACTTTACTCTTACTGAAGGGTTCCTTTTATCAATAGCATTTTTTAAAATGCATGTTGGAATGGCTACTGATTAAACCCTGGTTTAATCTCAGAAAATTTTCTGAGAACTGAGTTACATCCATCACTCATCTTCCCTAAACTATTCTCCAGTACAAGCAGGTCCCAATAAAAAGGTAAAATTCAAGTACCATTGCTGAAAACCTCCTAAAACATACCTGCCTCTCACCTGTATGACTCAATGCAGCAACAAGAAAGCATACAATATGAGGCAAAGCCTGACAACAATATTAGGCAAAGCCTGACAACCAGCTTCAGAGGTGAACCATGTCTCACCTTATACTTCATCAACACAGTTACATTTTGCATCGTCTTAAAAACCCAAGAGATGTTTTTTAAAAACAGCAAAAAAGAGGAAAAAACCCCGTCAAGACAAAAAACCTCTCACCTTTAAGAGCTGCACAGTGTTTCTTAATTGCAGGAGGAGTAAGATGCAAAAAATTGGGAATCTGAAATGGACATATTAAAGAGTTAGCAAAATATAAGCTTTTTGTCTGTTCATTGATAAAGTGATATTACTGAAATCCAGTTACATTTTTAACTTATGTTAGAGTAGTACAATAGGCTTAATAAAATATTGAGGTAAGAAGACTCTTCTCGAGTCTCATTTAGCAAAAGACTTAAGCAAAACCCCATTAGGAAAGTCACAGGCATGATAATCCTAAAAAAGTCTCCTGATTTGGTTTATTTGTATTTGTTACCATTTAATTTAGAAATTAAATTTAGTATTATCTGATTTAATAATAGAAAACAGTATGCAAATATTCCAATCAAAGTAGTGCAGTCTTAGTGAGTAATAATTTTCAAAGTTAACACACACCAATGGAATGTGTCTTACCTTTACAAGTTCCAAATTGCCTTCTTTCGGTGGAGGTACCCCCCTCTTCACTGGGTAACCCATTCGAATTGGGAGAGGCACAGAGGCAGGTTTAAACGAAGCTGCTGTTGGATAAACACTGCTCCAGTCCTGATCAACAGCCATTCTCTCAGTTCTGGGAGGTATATGCTATAAAAGTTTGACAGGAGATATGTTGTTTTGGAAGTACACACACACAAAGCTATTTCAGGAATAAATTCCCAAAGCTAGAAATTTCAAGATACCTTTACATGAAAAGTTAGTACTTATTTGTGAAGGAAGCTCTCAAAGCTTAGCTAGCAGGCACTTCCCAGTCTTTAACTGCAACCTTACCATCTTCTTCTGTTGTGATAAAGCAGCAGGGGAAACAGGGGAATCAAACCAGTATTTAATTGCAACCTCAATTTCCTAAAGTGCCTAATCATCTAGTGCGGGCAAGAATGTGAGCTTTAAAATTCTGAAAGTCTGAACAAGATCATATTAAAAGAAATAGATATTAATAACTCTAAAAGTACTTGCTATAGAAATTCCAGTATAGGAAGAATGCATTAACACATTGCAGCTTATTTCCTCTAATAACTGACCAAGGCTCCAGTCAAATGCTTTTTTAAAAAAAAAAAGGTAAAAGACCAATGGATATACACAGTCAGCTGGTCTGACTGCTTCGGTGTATCATTAAATCTGCTCTTGGAAGTTAAATGAACAAAAATTTAATGCACACGAAGTCCACATTTACTATTTGCCTTTAAAAATCATACACTGCTTTTGAAATTCATGTGTATAATAAGTAAGAAAATTCTCAGTGAATAAATGCACAGACAGCAGTTTTTATTCTACTGTGCAAGAACGATTTCACTTCTGCACAATACTTGATTTTAATTACACCAGAAAACAACCACTAGAAATCCTCTAAACCCATACTGAAACCAACATTGAAATGCCCCGGTTTTATTTTAAATGCAATGTTAATTTGCTTTCAAGGCCTGCAGTACATGGTGACAATACAAGGTAAATGTTAGCTTGTTACTGTTAATGTTTTTGCCTTTATGAGAACACAGTCTGCAAACAGCCGAGAGATTAAGGAAGCTAGGGGCTGGTTCTCCAATTTAGTCACAGTGGATTGTTTCATCAGGTTCTGATGGCAGAAGGGGCTCCTGTACAAACTGCGAAGACATAGCTTAGAAAACTGTTTTCAAAGACCTCTGAGTTAAGTGCAAATAGTTTCAGTACTTACTGGTCTTATGACCTGTGGTGTCCCGTCTCTTCTCCTTGTTGAAGCTGAAAGAAAAAGAAACATTTTGCAATATAAAGTATTATATGATTTTGTGCGGGGAAAAAATGCAGCGCAGTCCTGTATGCTTTTTTTTCTTTAACAAAGACAATATACACTAGTACTTCCTAGTCTGTATGTGGAAGAACAAGAAGATCAGGTACTCCTACTGCAGATTGCTCATTTATTTTTTGAAACTTGAGATTAAAAAATGCTTGGAAGCCATTTCGTCTGGGTCTATACCTGGAACACATTAACAACAATTCAGTGGCTACACACCTAAATGCATTTTGCTAGCGTCACATATTCCAGCATGATGGAATATATATTAAGGGCAGTTAATGACAAAACAAGGGGAAATGGGTTTAAACTGAAAGAGGGCAGGTTTAGATTAGATATTAGGAAGAAGTTCTTCACTGTGAGCGTGGTCAGACACTGAAACAGGTTGCCCAAGGAAGTTGTGGATGCCCCCTCCCTGGAAGTGTTCAAGGCCAGGTTGGATGAGGCTTTGAGCAACCTGGTCTAGTGGAAGGTGTCCCTGCTGCTGGCAGGGGGGCTGGGACTGGATGATCTTTAAGGTCCCTTCCAACCCAAACCGTTCTATGATTCTATGATGGAGGAGAAAAGAAAAAGAAGATGAGAGAAAGTACGCTTTTGCCTTCATAACTGTGCTTCCTTTTCTCTTTCCCACACAGCTGTTAAGTCACAAACCACTCTCCACCAGCACTACAAGACAGCTAAACCTACCAGTTCATCACTACCAAAAGGAGAATCCCATGGCTTCATCCATTCCTTCTGACAGTACACCTTCACACCCTCTTCTGTGCCACTCAACCTCATCGAACCTCTGTACAAACAGTTATCAAATTGAACCATTTTTCTTCTTAAGCTGGAACAAGCTGATGGGTTTGTTTTCTGTCATTTTACCATGTTGATCTGGCTTATTGAGCTGTCCCAGATTCTTCTTAAGCTGGAACAAGCTGATGGGTTTGTTTTCTGTCATTTTACCATGTTGATCTGGCTTATTGAGCTTAAAGCTCAATAAGAGCCCAGTAAAGCTACAACAAAGAGTTTACTCCCTTTAAGCAGGCCTGAGCCACCATTTGGCTCAACCTTCTAGCCAACTGACTTCATCTGGAGCTTTGGGTGAGGGACTCAGGGATGCATGAAGATACCAAATACCACTAGATTTTCAATCTTAATGGAGAACTTCACTTTCTTGTCTTCATTTCCTCCCCCACCTGCCAAAACACTAATTTAATCACTATCAACCCCCTCCTTCCAAAATAAAACCAAGAAGAAATTGGTGTCTCCTGCATAACTTTCAGACAAATGAAGGTCAATGTGATGAAATTTATTTTAAATTGTCCTGTTTGGGCTTGGGTTTGTTTGTTTTTCAAGTTTGATACACTCTTGCCACATTAGAATACAGTATATATTTAGAGAAAAACAAAACAAAACATTGAAAGGGATTTAGGAGTGGATGTTTGGGTTCTTTTTACCTCATCAATTTGTTTTACATCACCTCACATAAGCCTTAGAAAAACTTGTGAGTTTCACAGTTCTCTTGTCTTCCTTATCAAGGTATTTTACCACTCTCATTCTGTTCTTCCTCTTCTTGCTATATAAAAATCTAAACTGAAAAATATACATGGGGTACTGCAGCATCTAATACACATCATTCTTTTATGCCTTGATCTGCCATTTTGCGGTGCTTTCACACCACACTTCATTCAGCCACACTTCATTCATAACAATCTTACTATTTCTGTTACAAACGTCTTACAAATCTTACTATTCCTGTTACAAAAAGGCCCATAGTTCACATTGAAATATTATTTGTTTTTGTTGATTACAATTGTTCTTCATTTTAAATATTGCATTCTTTTTCCTGTTTTTTGTGCACTACTACAAATATAATATGTGCAGTGTGCATAGGGATTCGTTCATTTTTTTCCAAACTATAGTCCGGCCCCCGGCAGTACCTGAGGGACAGTGAACCGGCCCTCTTTTTAAAAAGTTTGAGGACCCCTGGTCTACAATTTCAGGGCAGGTCACCATTTGCTTCTGCAGTGTCACAGGTCCCAACATCAGACATCACTTACAGGCTTTTTCAGCATCGCAGCCTGCTCCTGAGCCCGCAGACGACAGGCGCAGACGCAGCCCTGAGCACAGCGCTGGTGCGACCCCCCCCCCGCCCAGCCGTTTCCATTCGTGCCCAGACCAGCCGGAACAGCTCGGCCTGAGGCCAGGCACGACACCCAATGTTTAACACGCGCACACATCCCTCGGCAAGTAACGGAATTCTCCTTTTGAACACTTAAAACCAGACAACACACTGCAAATTCGCTGTAACCCCGAGCTGAGAAACCCGCCCAGCAAACGCCGGTTTGCTCACTCTTTCTCCCGACTACTCGCGGTATTTACGCTGCCAAAATCTGTCACATTTACCAAAAAGATGTGTTATTTTTTTAAACAAAAGCTCTCCGCAAATATTCGCCAACAAACCGTCTCTTTCAGAGCTGCCCGCAGCCGGGAAGGGAGGAGAACCAGGGGTCTGAGCTCCCCGCGGCT